ACATAGTAAAAACATGTAAATTCTAATGTCCGCCTAAAAAAAAACCATTACTTATAGTGAAAACCACCCTTGAATGATGGGATAGTAGACTAAAAGCTTTAGGAATCCAAACTATAACATATAATAAGTACCCTGTATCAAGATTGATGCAAAACAAGTGAAATTTGACCTTTTTAGAGAGATTTAGCAAAAAAAACACTTCTGGGGTCATTTGGGTGGATTTTCCATATCTCTGGAACCCATTGGTCGATTTTGATGATTGACATCTCTTTTTAACCGTTAGAGCCAATAGAATCGAGGGGAAGTTCCTAAAATCCGTCTAAACATTACCCATTGGTGAATGAGTGCTGCGTAGCCAGAATGCCCCGGAACCGGAAGCTGTCATTCACTCTGGTAGCTATCGTAGCAGCTAATATGAAATCTCCGTTATTGACATAAATATGAAGATGGATTATCAGTAATCATTTCAAAGTGACAGACACATTGGATTAACCTTCAGCAGCGTTTTTATCGTTTTGATGCCATTGAATGTATGTAGCACAACAGGGAACTGAGACAAGGGAAGAAAGCGTGTTTCCCCGTTTGGCCATAATCGTGCAGCCCTTATTTACACCGGGTACTTATGCAAAGTTTATGTGAACAAACTGGCATTTTTAGGTGTAAATAAGTGAAAAGATATCATTTTGTGTCCCTTTTTCTGAACTCTAATGACATGAGAGCAGTTTTTAAAGCCATGCAGGGTGTCTGAATGAAAGTGAGATGTACGAACCGTCCACCAGCGACGGGATGGACCGCTCGTTGTCAGAGTTGGAGAAAAGGATCAGTTCTTTGTTGATGAAGTCGTTGTAGGAGAGGTGTCGCGCCTGAGTCCCATACAGGTATTGCTGAGAAAAAACACATCAAAAACACACATTTTACACACAGAGTGGTTTGAAACCAAACCATCTTCCCACTGGTTGACGGGGCATCGATTTAAAGCAAGAAAACACTTACAAAATATAATTGAGCTCCTTGAAAACACATTATTTCAGCTAAAATCCCATCTATTCTACGCAGATTTTAGTCATTTATTCGGCTCATAAAAACAGTTTGCCTCCTGAGTATACGAGAGTTTAAAGCAGAATATGAGTTTAATTAGACGTAAAGACACTTAAAAATGACATTAAAACAAAAAAGCGCCAGATCAACTTCAACCAATCGGTATCTTCTCCAACTCTCACTTTTTTCAAATTCAAGACTTTTCTTTTGCCCGCTGCATTTAATAACTCAAATGACTATTGATATCCAACACTGCAATCTCACTTTTATCCCTGTATTTGTCTCTATTTTCTTGAATATAACTGACTGTTTATTAAGGTATTAAAATGCTGTCCTATACGGTGTTTCTGTTGGACTTAGTCGTGATGCTTTTACGGTTTTTTAAAGCACTTTGAAGCACCTTGTTGTTGAAATCGGCTCGATAAACAAACGTGTCACATATTAAATTGCAGTACGGCCTTATAAGAGACACATTACTTTGCTCCAAAGCAGTCCATAACGTTATGTCCCTTGAGCCTAAGGGAGTCTCAGAGCTTATCTGCTCCTCAAAACTATATGCGTAGTTGAACTCTGACCTCACACGATATTGCATTTTCCGTCTCCTCGATCTTTAAATAATCACAGGTTCAATGACCTTTTTCTGCTCATGCCCTACGTAGAGCGCTGTTGGTCGTATAAATAGGTATGTCTGCTTTTGGAAACTAAATTGATACTCACTGGTGTGGCTTGAAGCACATGTTTATATAAATCAGCTTCTACAAAACCTACAAATGGTCCACTTTGATCACTGACCTCTGGCAGGCCGTGCATCCTCCTCTGTCGTCGGTCCTCCATGAAGTTTGTGAGCCACTCCTTCCTGTCGTCCGTCTTCTTCTTACTGAACGCCTGCAGCAACACAGCACGACATTTAACACATCGCTTTTAACCAATTTAGGATAAAGTATAAAGGTAGCAAATGCTCGTTTGTATTCGTTTAACTTGAACTATGTCTCAGAAAGATGCCTAAGCCTAAACAGACATGTATGGCATTGTTTCTCAAACTTTTTCATACCAAGGACCAATTGTTATGTGCCGTACTGGGTGCTGAGGTGTGTGTGTGTGTGTGTGTGTGTGTGTGTGTGTGTGTGTGTGTGTGTGTGTGTGTGTGTGTGTGTGTGTGTGTGTGTGTGTGTGTGTGTGTGTGTGTGTGTCCCTCTCCCCCTGATCGTCTCCCTCAGGTGCTCCAATCAGGGCCTCCATAAGGGAGCTGAGAAAGGCTGCAGTCGCTCTCTTCCTTCCCGTCTGGCTGCAGCATGTGTCGTGTCTTTGTAAACTGTGCTATTTAGTCACTTTCTTTCAGAAGAAAGTCGTTCTTAGTTTGCTTTGCAGATTGGCTGGTGAGCCTTTCTTTCTTTTTTCAATTAAAAGACCGTCTTGTGGTTAGTTTATATTTTGTGTCACTTCCCTTTGGTACCCCTAGTCCAGGACGGAACGTAAAACCAATACAAAAAAAACTCACCAGTGGCGAGCCGTCAGGGCCTTCTAATATTTTTTTAAGTTATATTTTTCATTAGTTTTACCAAAATAACTTTTAATTGTGTTTAAATAACATTTCCAAAGAAATAAATCCTTTGAATCTGCCTATTCAATTTCTGTTAGAATGTGAAGGGTTAAATGAAAGAAGCTCGTCTCTGCGAGGTGAAGAGAGGAGCTGTTGGACGTCCTGCTGTGAATTCACAGAGGGCCCAGCTATAGTAACTGAACGAGAGAGTAATGTCAAGTGACAGTACAATTGACCAATCATATCTTCCCTCTAAATGGGTGGGTGTTATTATCGCGGACTTTATGACAAGTTCCGCCCGCTGTGAAGCTTTTCTTGTTTCCATAGCAACAACAACTTCCTGTCAACAGCGTAAACTCGCCTTCAAAATAAAAGCATGCCAAATTACACTTAAGACATACAACTGCAACAAAAGTAACAAACACAATGCAATATCCTTTTCAATTTCAAAGAACACAAATATGTCCTCCGTTTAAGCCCCACTTCACAGACGGGTTCCTGTGGTTGCGGACTTCGTCACCCGCCCTCGCCCAAAAGTCTTCACCTCAAGGGGTTGTGGGAACTAGACTTGTTTGCGTGTCTGGTGACGGCGGTGGGGCAAGTGTCTTGTGTGCAATTTTATGGGAATACTGATAGCATAGCGTGTTTTTTTTACGATATAACTAGGACTGAAAGTGTTGGTTGAGTGTCCAAATAGTTAACGAAACGTCTTTTTTCTATAATTAATTAGGGAAAAATCATTCTCTTCTAATCAGTACAGACCCGTCCAGTAAAAACTCGGACCTGGACTTTTTTGTCCGAGTCCCGACTTGTCCAACTTTCCTATGATATAATATAAAACTGGGATTGTCAATTCTATGGGCGTCACTTGTGGCCCTAGCAAACATGTAACGCCCAATCTTCACGTCTGGACTCACCTATAATGACAAATCCAATGATTTATCACCGTTTCCGGGGATTGTATACTAAGAGTTTCTACCAGGGGATCACAGGCACTCATAACCATTGTAAAGTGTAAAAATTTTATTATTTATTATTTAAGTTTCACAAGGTTTTAACATTTTTACCCTGTCACTTCCACCGCTGTCTCTGTGGACACCCTTATTAATCCGGGGACGTGAGGAGGAAAGCGGGAGACTGCGTCGGACTGGTATGGACTCGTCTGGCATAGGGGAATGCCTCCTCGACGGGATCGTAACAAATCGTCAACACTGGCCCGTTGACGCCAGTCTCTATCAATTAACAAACACCCTGTGGGACCTTGTGAAGGAGCGCCCCATTACTGGTCGTATTCGCTGTTGATTTTCACTGTCACAGGAGTCCGACAATCAGGATAGATAACTTCTTACAACTAATTTTGAGCTTGCTCAGTCTGGACCTCGTGTCCTCCCGAGAAGTCTTACTACACCGTAGGGCGATGGTTGGTAACGAGGTCTTCAAAGGGGTGTTGTGGTATTAGTGTCACGCTTTGTTACGATTTTATTTCATTGTCACGTTATTCTTGAACACAATTACACGGTAAGTACATTTCACCGGACGTTGGTTTCAATGCATAAAAATTAAACTTTAACACCAGCTGATGTACGCCGTAAAGGTAAAGAGAGTCTTTTGCTAGACCCTCAGACAACCTGTATTTGGGCTTATTTCAAAAGTATATGCCATTTTGATACTCGTAAAATAACAACTACACACTTATTCTCGCTTATATCTCTTCAATCTCGACAGTAGTTTAGTCCGTCATATAATATTTATACCAACTCCATTCGTCCAGACACAAAGACCTATACCTCAATCCACCAGCACTTCACAGTCCCACGCTCGGCACTAAATATGGATCACAGGGAGACTGGGGGGGGTGAAGGGAACTTTTTTTTTTTCAATAGTGCGTGTCGCTATGAAGTCGCCTTATTAGTTTGTTGTTAGCCGGGCCCACGTTTTGCGTTAGTTTACCGTCTACCGTCGGCGCTGGGAGTTGGTTTGTTTTGTTGTTGGACANATTGTTAGCTAATGAATGTTTCCATGCTGAACAACGGCAACATGACAACGTTTTAAAGACCAGGAAATGATGGATACACAGATCGTGTTCAAATCAATAGGCACGCAATGACTCTAAATAATAATGATCACGCCACCAAACACACATTCAAACTAAAGGAACCAGCCTGTTTGGGAAATGAGAGAAGTAGAAAGTACAGGTATTTGAGTTCAACATGTGAGAAGTAGAAAGTACAGGTATTTGTGTTCAACATGTGAGAAGTAGAAAGTACAGGTATTTGTGTTCAACATGTGAGAAGTAGAAAGTACAGGTATTTGTGTTCAACATGTGAGAAGTAGAAAGTACAGGTATTTGTGTTCAACATGTAAGAAGTAGAAAGTACAGGTATTTGTGTTCAACATGTAAGAAGTAGAAAGTACAGGTATTTGTGTTCAAAATGTAAGAAGTAGAAAGTTCAGGTATTTGGGTTCAGCATGTAAGAAGTCAAAGTAAAAAGTGGTCAGAAAAATAAGTAGTGGAGTAAAGTACTGATACCAGAAAAATGTATTAAAGTACAGTAACAAAGTATTTGTACTCCACTACTTCCCACCTCTGACGGGGGATAATCACCACACGTCTTATTATTATTATTGCACCTTATCACTGTTTATATCAAAGTGTTTCATATTTAGATCCCTTTTAGATAACTTTAGGTTGTACCTGAGTCCAGGTGCGCACAGGAAGCTCTGTGATCTCGATGGTGGTTCTGTCGAGCACCGACACCTCTCCACTCATCAGGTACTGGTTCTGACCCAGCTCATGGATCACTCCTTTGAAGTTCTTGTACCTGGGAAGCTGTGAGGAGACACAGATAACATTCAATAACACGGAAACACTGAGAAAAGTCTCCTGACGTACCCGCACGACAATGTGATTTAACAAGAGTAAATTCAGACTCCTAATCCTCTCTCTTCTTGGAGGGAGTGCACAGTTAAGACTCAACGAGCAAAACGTGTGAGGATATCACATATTGAAAGTCAATGAGGAGAAAAAACTAGAATTGAAAGTATTTAACTTGAGCCACGTGAGGCAATTCCAAATATATATACCAGTCATTTTACTAGACCTTCACAACCCTTGCTTATATTTTCTTTCTCAATTCTCTTATTTTTGAGGCAATACCTCCTTAACAAAAACAGATTTGTTGCATCAACCTTTACCCACTTTAACCTGCAATCTGACCTTTCATTTGACTTGTGTTGGTTTGTAAATAACCCCCAGTGTTTTCTTATGGGATCAGTTTGATTAGTGAACTTGTAAGTCTCTTAAACTGCCTCCTTAATGACTATTTTCTTCACTACCTGTGCATATACCCTATTCACCTTTTTGACCGGATAATAAACGTTGTTTTATCAATTAGTCAACATTACTGACAATTCTTAAAGGTATGCCATTATATTAAAATACTGAAATCCAGTGGTCGATACCAACCAGAGATAATAAGGACAAATCCTCCTCAGTGAGACGGCATTTATTAATCTTTTAGGTTGTTCTTTGGCCCGTCTAGTGAAGCACAGCTGGATAAATCCATTTCCATCAGTTATGTTAACTCCCGCTCACCATGGGCAGGGGGTCCTGGTGTTTGAGCAGCCGGTAGATGTTGTTGACGATCTCTCGGGGGTCGTAGTTGGGGAGTTTGCAGGCCCACCCGGTGCCGATGCCCTCGGCCCCGTTCACCAGCACCATGGGGATGATGGGGATGTACCACTCCGGCTCCACCTTCTGGTTATCATCGTACAGGAACTTCAGCAGGTTGGCGTCTCCGGACGGGAACAGCAGCTTCGCCAGAGGACTGAGGGGAGGGAGAGCAACGTTAGGAGAAGATAGACATTCATCTGGACTCTGAGAGGTCTAGGTTTTAGATACGAGGGATGCCCACAGATATTACGTCATGAACGCAGCAAACCCCCGTTTTTAGAGATGTGGGTACTTTGTGAGTCTCCTGACTCACCGGGGACACAGATTTATGTATAAAAGACATCAATAAGTACATTTTCCATGATAGGAGACCTTTAATACAAATG